GAGTTTTTAGGACATCCTGTTAATAATGAATTACAGTAGTTCAGGCTGGAAGTAATAAATGCATGAACTAGTTGTAAGAGCCAATTAAAGGTTAATTTTATTGGGACTGGTAAAATGATTAGAGGAGAAATATACATGTTTGATGTTAAGAATATAATTTCTAGTTAATTTCAAAATACTGTTTTGTTAAAGGTATAGAATATACAAGTGCGACATTCTAATGCGCTTTCTAGTATTTTGGGCTTCCGGCACACTGTAATTACGTAGTTGGGGAGTCGGATAAGCTGGAAGCAACAGAGTTTTTTGACGGAGTCTTGCCATGTAAATTAAAAGTTTCAATAAACATCTTTTACGCAAGAAAAGTACCTGGACTTGCTCGCGTTTCAAATGCATGTTGCCGGACTGACTCCTAAAATCAATCTGAGATTCACATCCTCTTGTCATTTTTTCACTACACAGAAGAGAGACCCCCCAAACTTATCCTGCTCTTTAAAAATTCACAAAGAAACTTCCATCAGTTCTTTAGCAGCAATCATACATTTACTTTGTCCCACACTGCAGCCTCTCCGTCACAGCTTTTATATTTTATATTGCCCCTGCTATAAGAACTGTAACACCCACATTTCTCATCCGTGGGATAATAAAGGTTTATTCTATTCTTTTCTATTCTAAAAATACTTTGAAAGTATTTTTCACTCAAACTGGAATAACACAGAGAGAAGCACAGCTGTTCTTTAAGCCATTTTCATTCAGACAAAGTCAATGATGTCACTTGCCAATGAAGACTGTTATCATGGACTTTAATAGCATAATGATGAAGTGACACTGAACTGAATCATTAATCGTTTTGTTTTTTGTGACTTTGTCATTCTGATTGTTCTTCGAGGTTGATGTGATGTCAGGGATTAGTGCTGCATGCTCAAACATCCAGGTAAATCCCAAAAGGTTGGTTCTGTTCACCTGGACGTTCTCAGTTTTCATCACTGTACAGGTTATCTTTGTTATAGCATAGCCTGCACATGCCTGATGTGGATCTGAGTATTAAGAGAACACATAGTTACTTTCAGCTACTTTAAAGCAGGTTCAGAATGCCCGTCGCTATCTTCACGTGACGACACACGGCCCCAGCCTTTGTTAAATTTATCGGTAGGAGGAGATTAAAAGAGACTTCTTAAGCTCACATCAAATACCTTAATTTTATTATTGAATCACAGTTCAACATGATCCTTATTTATCTCTTAACCTTACTGGGTGTACGAGCTGGACAGACTGGTTTAGCTCCCCTCTGCTTTTGTTTCAGCCAGTGTCTTTGGAAAGGCTCCCCTTGTAAACAGTGTGGATGAGATAGCTGCTCTCTGTCACATGAAGCAGGCTGAGTAAAACTGTGTGAAATAGAGTGGCTGGTGGTCTGAAGGCTGAATATTTGAATCACACCCCTGTACATCAGCTTGAAACCATATATACATGAGATATAAAACAAGGATAAGTTGAGCTCACGTTTATCTAATAAGACCTTTGAACTACTGTTAATAATTGTGGTGTGATAAACAATGTTTTCATTTCTGTTTTCTTAACATGTAGTCGAGTGTTTAACAAAATATAGAACAATAAATGTGAATTTCACAGTACTCAGTTACAGATCAGGAGAGTAGATTTCTAATTAAAAAGCAGTATATATGACCCAGATACTGATGACCCCTCATTCTTCCATGTTTGTTAGTCTCTGAGCACCTACACTGTGCCCTTGTTCTCTGGGGCGACTTCAGCTTTGGACTAATGAAGACGTGAACAGGCTCAATACAGCAGGAACTCTGCTGTCCACCAGTTATACTGTATTTATACTGTACTTTGTTACCCTGTATTCATACATGTGTAATGACAAAGTTGAATCCTAATAATCAGACAGTACATGAGTGATTTTGGTCTTTGCGACTCATGGTGCTTCCTTCACCCCAACTGTAGGGAACATACTCTCTTCCCACTCTGGTCTGGAGTATTTCCCATCACGACTGCAGGGGGATGTGACGTGACCGCTGAGTGTAAAATGGTCAGTTTCAGTAATCATCATGAAACAAAGAAGCATAGCAACATGTTTAATGTCATCACTGATTTCTCAAAAAAAAAAAAAAAACGATGTAAAAACTCTCGACTCACCAACAGTGACACTTTCTGTTTCACACAACAACATGTCAGTCATGCTCAGATTAAACAGGGTGTCTGACTGCAGTGACCACACACACGTCTGTCCCTTACACCTCTGTGAAACACGTCCAAGCTGTGTTGTCTCCGTCTTAACACCACCAGAGCCTCCTCAGTGAATCTGATGAGTGCATCCCTCTGAATGACGTTATGAACTAAGCTGAGACAGAAAGCCTCCAATTCGCCCAATAACCTTCTCCAGTTGATCGGCTAGTGGAGAAAAAAGAGGAAACAAATAATAAACAATATGTAAGAAACTCTAAATATGAGTGTTAAACTGACTTACGTAACGTGTGCTTCTCTCCTCGGCTCCAGTAGCGAGGCTGCGTTTGAAGCTGCTTCACCTCCTCGCTCACCGACTCAGAAGCTTCTGACACTTCCTTCAGCATTTCCAGCTCCTGACAGACGCACACACCAGAGGACAGAACACGTCACTATGTTCCTGTCCTACGAGCAGTGTCAGTTTATTAGTTACACCGACCTGCTATCAGGCCTGCAAACAGTCCGGACTAAATGAAGGTTCAGACTAACTGTTTCAGAGACGTTTGGTGGGATAGATTCAACACCTCTGTGAAACACGTCCAAGGTATCTGCTGCCACTACAACAACCCTGAATAAGCCATTAGTATGCAAAGCTAGGACCTGAAGAGGTTTCAGGTCAGACCAGGCAGAAGTTGGCTGTACGGCTGCCTGTGTCTGCACACCTTCCCATCAACGTGGCACCAACTGCTGGGTTATAAAAACAGAACGATCAAAACACCATTCAGTTTAAGGAGGAGGAAAATAATTTAGCTACAGAAACAGGTTTTTGTTTCTGGCTGTAAATGTATTATTTTTAACCGTGTCTTCACTTAGATCATCAGTGTCTATAGAAAGAGAACAGCTGGAAGCTAATATCTGAGTCTGTGACCGGAGTTTGGGAAAAGCTTCACGGCAGCCCTCTGACTGACAGCAGGTAGATCCCAGGTACTACTGAGACGAAACAAAAGAGCAGAGTGTGGGCACGAAAAACGAGAACAGACGCTGTGAAATGCAGGAATTCAAACAGTAACAAAACTAAAAGGGGAGTGTATGAGGTGCAGTCACACTCCCAGAATTAAGACACATCTCCATTTCTCTTCCCACTGTTGCCAAAGTCCTTGCTCATAGGGCAGGGGTAGGGAACTCCAGGCCTCGAGGGTCGGTGTCCTGCAGGTTTTAGATGTGTCCTTGATCCAACACAGCTGATTGAAATGGCTAAATGACCTCCTCAACATGTCCTAAAGTCCTTCAGAGGCCTGATGAACTAATCATGTGATTCAGGTGTGCTGACCCAGGGTGAGATCTAAAGCCTGCAGGATGCCGGCCCTCAAGGACTAACGTTCCCTACCCCTGTCATAGGGGGTCATATGATCGTTGGGTTGCTCGGTCAAATTCATGTTCATGGTAAAGAAGTTGGAGTGTGTGCAAATTGCTATCGTAAAAAACTGAAGCAGCAAACTAATATTTGTGTTATTCTCAAAACATTTGGCCACGTCTGTAAATAAGAAGGTAAATGATTTGCTTTGCTTTCCCTCCACCAAACTCCAAACTTGGTCAACTGAGACTTTCCTCATTTGCTAATATTTAGTCAATGATTTAAGGGCAGCCCTAAAATGATTTAATGTGCAAGTCTCTGGGACTGTGGGTGTCCAAATGACACAGGTGTGACTTTAACAGAGTGGGCTTATTTGTGAGTACCGTGTTGCAGGCCAGCAGCAGCTGTTGGACCCT